GACAGAGAGACAGAAAGAGAGAAATCACCCCCCAGGGAGGATGACCACGCCACAATCCCTTCTCCTCTATTCTCTCAGGATCTTGGACACGCACGTACATGCGCCCAGCATGAGTTTAAGCCACCAGGTCCGGGACTCGAACTGCGGTCGACTACGTGGGAGTCCAGCGACATAGCCATTACGCTAACTGCTGGTCCCGAGAATCATGATATTTTATACAGCAAGGAGCTAAGAGAAATTCATTGTCTCTCTTTCATCAAACCATCATGACTTAAATTTTCTGATGAGTCCTGGAGAGTTTTTCTCCCTCCTTCTGAGATGTGTTCTCTTTCTAATGCAGTCCACGCCTAGAACACCACGTCATGCCTCTCCTCAGATCCGCAGCCGAAACCTAGCAGCTCCAGAGCCGGCCAGCATACTGGAGGAGGCCCGGCTGAGGTGACAGTCCTCTTGGGACCCTTTCAGATAGGCAGGAATGATGGGGCCTCTGCTTTCATTCACATGAAATGGGAGCAACTTGCAGCCACTAGTGTACATCATACAGGTGGGACCTAAAATGCACATCAGGCAGTGTCTAGGTGAGATAATGAGGACAGGCTCTACAAGCAGGAACCTTCCGGTGTGCTGCCATTATTTTCTCAGGGGAGGAAGGTGACTAGGCAGGACATTGTTGCTCCACTATGGTCCCTTTGATCACCATATGGAGACTTTTTCAAAATATGTAAATCCAGATCCTGCCAGAAGTCAAGTGAATCAAAATTTCTGTCCACCCAGTGATTTGGGAACGCTCCCTTAGTTGGTACTAGTACATTGGGTGATGCAGGTGGAGAAAGGGAGGCCATGGATTCTGAGGCCAATTGAAAGGATTTGGGAATGCCAACATTCTCTTTTATTTGAGGTAGTTTTCACATAGAGACCATAGACAGGTCTTTTCCATTTGTTACTGAGGAGGTGGTGAAATGCTTCTAAAGTCTTTCTCCCATTTACTGTCTGTAGGCTGCATGTTTCTGCCATACCGGAGTCTCTGCCCTGTCGGGAACAGGAATTTCAAGACATCTACAACTTCGTAGAAAGCAAACTCCTTGACCGAACTGGAGGGTGAGTTCATGGGGCAGGCAGGACAATTGGGAGGCAAAGGCCCTGCTGGTACATCTCTTAGGGGTCACACTTCAGCCAGACAATCTTTTCCCAGGGTCGGGAAAATAGACAAAATCTTTACTGAGACCTACTACTTCTGAAGCAGGTTTTTGTTGCCAGAGTAATTCAATAGGAATAGAAACTGCCTTTTGAATAAAATTAAACTTTGGCCTTCTTTAGGTAGCATTTTGCATATAGCATTGCTTATAGAGTGAATGACTCTGTAGGTTCTTCTCTGACCAGCTTTGGTAAGGATGGTCCTTACTGTCCCCACTGCCACACTTCGTGATTTTTGGATCTTCAGTATACATTCCCAGACGCCTCCCTGGTGACAACATGAGGTGGCCGTCATCGGCCGAGCCAGCAGCACTTCCTTCTTGCTCTAGGTGCATGTACATCTCCGGTGTCCCAGGGACAGGGAAGACTGCCACTGTGAACGAGGTGATTCGCTGCCTGCAGCAGGCAGCCCAGACAAATGATCTCCCCCCCTTTCAATACGTCGAAGTCAATGGCATGAAGCTGACGGAGCCCCACCAAGTCTATGTGCACATTTGGCAGGTAAGTAAAAGCCTTTGGGCTTTTTGGGAAGTGCAGTTCCTTAGGGGCACATGAAGAGGAAAGGTTCACTTAACTGTATTTCACATGCTGCGATAGACCAGGGATTGCCCTTTGTGTAGAGTTTGCAAGGACATGGAAGGCAGAATCGTACCCTCGAGGAGCTTAAAGTCGAGCTGGATGAAGGATGACTGGGAGCCCGTACTGACCAAATGGTGAAAACCATTACTTGCAGGTGGTAGTGTTGCAAGTTGTGGAAAAGGGGTCATAGGGAAGCCAGAGTTTGAGGCATGCCCATTCATTCATTAGTTGTTTTGTAACAGGTAATGTTCAGTCGTAGAATTGCGTAATAGCAATATTAGAGGGGCTTCTGGGACCAGCCTGCGACTCGTGTGTTTTGTTGTTGGTTTGTTTTGTTGTTGTTGTTTTTTGTTTGTGTGTTTGTTTTGTGTTTTTTTTGTGTGTGTGTGTGTGTGTGCATGCACTCACCAGAGAGACCATGGGAAAGTGAAAAATCTCCAGAGGAGATAGCCACACAGCAGTCCCTTTTCCTCTGTTCTCCTCTCAGGGTTTTGGGCATGCACAGCATGATTTTTTTTTTAACTTTATTTGCTTATTTATTTTAATTTGGCGAGAGAGAGAGAGAGAGAGTGAGAAAGCAAGCCACTAGGTCCGGGACTCTAACTGGTTGCTCATGTGGGAGTCCAGCACCCTTAACCACCACGCCACCTGCCAGCCCCCACCGCGTGATTTTTCAAGCTGCTCTCCACCATGTGGGAATCCAGAGCCCTAACCATTATGCCACCTGCTGGCCTCTCACTCGCATTTCCAACACGAACTTCCCCTTCTCTTATGGTTTCTTCTCTTGTCCTTTTAGGTTAAGGTTAAGACTAGAATGAAGACAGTATGGGATACTGGAGTCCGATAAACTGATTCTTTCATTTATAGATGTAACATTGAGTCCCAGGGAATAAAACCCTTACCGTTTACTACGGCTGTTTTTCCCCTAACACAGAAGCTAACAGGCCAAAAGGCAACAGCTAACCATGCAGTAGAACTGCTGGCAAAGCGATTCCGCACGGAGAGATCCCCTCAGGAAACCACCATCCTGCTTGTGGATGAGGTGAGGTGCTCACGGAGGGCTGGAGAGGAAATGGGTGGTACTTGCCTAGGCGGTACTGAGAACAAGTATGGGTAGGGGCAGTCCTGGCGTCCTTCTGCATTCCCCTGGGCCCATTCTCTGGTGGTGAGAGGCATGTACCCCTCGACTTCCTGGCCGCCTTGGTGGTGTGGCCTGGGAGACACTCACAGGTGTAATAACACTAACAGGTCTTCGCTGGGTCCCAGCTCAGCTCCGTCTGACCCTCTCGCTTTCTCCCTGGCAGCTTGACCTCCTGTGGACTCACAAACAAGACGTGATGTACAATCTCTTTGACTGGCCCACTCACAAGGAGGCCCAGCTAGTGGTCCTGACAATCGCTAACACAATGGACCTGCCAGAGCGAATCATGATGAACCGTGTGTCAAGCCGACTGGTAGGTTCTAGGGCAGTTCTCAGGCCATTTCCATGGCTTTTGTGAGCTGGGCCATGCAGTTCTGTAAAAGCAGTAACACAGAAGACTAAAATAAATGGAGAAATTAAGAAATATGATTTCTTGGGGGCCCGGCCAGTGGCGTGGTGGTTAAGAGCACTAGATTCCCACGAGACCGACCACCACGGTTCATGTCCTGGACCTGGCGGCTTGCTTTCTCACTATCACTCTCCCTCTCTCTCTGGTAAAATGGAATACTACTACTACTACTAAATAAAATCGAATAAGTAATTTTAAAAAAAAAGAAATGTGATTTCTAAAATGCTTATAATTTCTGTATTGGAGTGGCATATGTCACCATTGAATGTTTTTCTGCAAACTTCTAATCTTGGAGCTTCACTACTCTAAAGTAATTTTTGTGTGTTTATGATTAGAGCAACAGTGAGAGGAGAGAAAGAGCACCCTCTACAGGGTGTAGTCATGTTACACTCCCCTTCCTTCAGTTCCCCAGCCTGCTGGATCCTGGGCATTTGTGTGTGCCAGGTGTGTTCCAGGCTAGCCGGGTTGGAGATTAGAACCCTGGCCACCGTGTAGTATCTGGCTTCTACAGCCAGTTATCACTGCACCATGGAATTGGCCTGTATTCCACTACTTTTAAATTGCACAGAGCTCTGGAGATTTAATTGTTTCAAAAAAATATTTCAGCACTTGCCAATGCCAGTGTTAGGTGACCGAAGTAGAACAGTGTGTGCCCGCCTGGCCCTGCATTTCAGTGGGAGGCACAACATCGAATCCAGAAAGCACAGGAAGAGGAGCCAGGTGCTACGGCAGCACCGAGTGCAGGTCTTAGCCTCGTCCCACCAACTTCGTGAGAGCGCCTCTGCTTACGTCTACTGCTAAGTGATTCTGCCGGAATAAAGGGTTCTTAAACAAACAAAGGCTATTTTGAGAATGACTGTCCTACAAGATACCGTGGCTGTCATAGGTAATGACAGTCCCCGAGAGTGGTGGTCCTGGCACAAAATGTATAAATGGTTATACAAGACATGGGAGTCGGGTTTGGGGACCTGATGGTGAGTTTTCACCGGGACAGTTTCCCTGTTTCCTGTCATCTTGGCTCCCCAGGGTCTTACCAGGATGTCCTTCCAGCCTTACACTCACAGCCAGCTGCGCCAGATCCTAGTGTCCCGTCTCAAACGTTTAAAGGCCTTTGAGGATGATGCCCTCCAGTTGGTGGCAAGGAAGGTAAGTCACCTTTGGGGAGCTCTTAACTGCACCCACAAATTAGATGGCGGAATAGCCCTTTTGTGTAGACTTCATTTCCTGAACAATAAATCTGAGAATTTGTTTTTTCCATTGTGGAGTTATTTGTAAAACCAAGACAAAAGTTTGACTCAGCGCCTAGAGTCTCCGGCACAATGTTGTAATGACTCGCTCCTGTGCTTCCACAAGGCTCCCTGCCAGGGCTAAGTACTTAACTTTAGGCCTCAGTCCTTTCTCGGCACTGCCTCTCCTTCTCAGCTGAACCCAGACGCTCTTGGGCTGAATGAGCAAGGAGACTCAGGGAATAAAATATTCCTTCTTGTAGGTGGCAGCCCTCTCCGGAGATGCGCGGCGCTGCCTGGACATCTGTAGGCGTGCCACAGAGATCTGCGAGTTCTCCCACCAGAAGCCTGAGTCCCCGGGCCTGGTCACGGTAGCTCACTTAATGGAAGCTGTGGATGAGATGTTTTCATCTTCGTATATCACTGCCATCAAGTAAGGCACTTTCTGAACTTCCCTGGAGGATCGGTGGAGGGCCAGGTCCGGAGCCAGGAAGGCCATGGAAACATGTTTCCCATTCTGATGTTTTACTTTCACCCTGCACTCATTAAAGACAGAGTTCTTTGGGTCACCAGGTTACACAGTGGTTAAGGCGCTGGACTCCCACGTGGTTGACTGTGGATCGAGTCTTGGACCTGGCACCTTGCTTTCTCATTCTCTCTCTCTCTCTCTCTGTCCCTCTCTGGTTAAATTAAAACAAGACAATAAATAAATAAATAAATTTAAATTAAAAAAAATATGTGCACATGCCCATAATCCCAGGAGGAGAATGGCCGAAGACTGCCATGTGGCCATACTCCCCGTGGGGGTTATTTCTCACTTTCCCCTCTCACTGTCTCTAGTGAGTACATGTGCCCTATGACAAAAACTTTATAATAATAATAAAAAAAGACAATTCTTAGGGGGGTATAGTCTAGTCAGGGATACAGAAACAAACCAAGTATAACAGAAGTCCTGCCGTTTATCAAGCTGGACTGTGGGTGTTTGAGTAAATAGTAACGCCAACAGGGAGGAAGCTACTCCCACACTGAGGAGAACGCAAGATTGGGTTTGCAGGAGGTACTGCTATAATTCCAGACTACGCGTCTTCTTTTCCATAGTGGCATTTTCTGTATCAGTTTGATCTTCTGGGGGCGAGGGGTACTGTTGCCAATATACCATAGGAAAAATGTTTACCAGTTTTTTATTCTCTTTAAAGACATAGAATGGCTGTGTTACAGCCAGTTTATAAGAACTCACATCTCGGGACCAGCAGTTAGCATAATGGCTATGTCGCTGGACTCCCACACAGTCGACCGCGGTTCGAGTCCTAGACCCGGCAGCTTAAACTCACGCTGGGCGCGTGTGCATGTGTGCCCAAGATCCCGAGAGGAGAATGAAAGAGAAGGGATTGCAGTGTGGCCATCCCCCCGAGGGGTGATTTCTCACCTGTCTCTCTGTCTCTGTCTGTCTGTCTGGCAAGTACAAAAAGAACTCACATCTCCTCATTTTCTTTAAGAAATTCCTCTGTTCTGGAACAGAGCTTCCTGAGAGCCATCCTTGCAGAGTTCCATCGATCAGGACTGGAAGAAGCAACATTAAAGCAGGTGTTTGATCTTCTTTTTTTAAATCCTTCTAGATTGTAGTCCAGGTCTTTAAAACTATTTCAGTTGATATATAACATTTTGTCTCTATTTTGTGTCAATATGGCTAAGAATGCCAGACCAGTGCCTATTTCTGTTACGTGGTATTTCATTGAATTGGGTGAACAGGCCTCCTGCACGTTAGAGTGAAGGCCTCCTATGTGCCCGACCCCGACACTGTTGCAGGAGTGAGGTGGACAAGACAAAGTTGCTGTCCTAATACAGCTTATGTTGTGGTAGGGGCATGGCTTTCAGAGTGAAGTCATGTTTGAAAACAAATCACAGATCAATCTGAACAGTATTTGAGTATCGTTTCAATTAGGTCAAGTGAAAAGAATGATTAGTTTGCTGAAGACTCTGTCCATAGGCCATTGGCTGCCTTGCAAAATGAATTGTTAACAGGTGTTTGAGTGTCACCAAGAGTACGTATATCTGTGTTTGAAACATCTTTATTTAACTAAGATGGAGTGGGCAGGAAGATACTTTTCTCTCAGGTATCTTTAATGGGTTGGTTATAAATTCTATTATAAACACTTAGTTGCGGGTCATGGTTTCCCATCACTGTTCTTGTACAGCTCTTCTGCAGAGTGACTTTTATTTTAGTTTGTAAACATTCCCTGAACATCCGCAGTGTACCATTAACTTTGATGGGTGCCATGAACACAAGCTGAATTGGTTAATAACCTTGCTTCTAGGGGCGACCAGGAGGCATGGTGGTTGAGGTGCTGGACTCCCACGTGGCCTATCACAGTTCAAGTCCCAGACCTGGCAGCTGCTTTCTCACTCACTGTCTCTTCTCAGTCTCTTTCCAGTGAGCACGCATGCCTTATAGCAAAATTTAAAATAATAACAATAAATAAATAAATAAACCTTTAAAAATAAATAACCTTTTCCCTGGACAAGCTCCTGTCTTGGTGGGAGGTCTGACCCATATTTAGGATAGAAAATAACTGGGCTTCAGACTTGCCTGACCCAGTGGGGAGCTTTACAGTAAGAATCTATGTCTGTCTATCCTTTGGCCTCCCTTTATTTCTTCAGTCAGTTTTCTCTCTGGGCCTTTGTGTTATGCCTTTGCACCTTTATTTATTTATTTATTTTTAATCACTGTATCTAATAAGAAAAGTGCCCATGTAGCAAAATTTGACTTGAATTCTGATAGCCTCCATTGTGGAGCTCTCAGCCTAGGATACCAGGACTATCTGTGTAACAGTGGTGGTTACTAGTCATTTTGTATCTATTAGCTCAAGGGGGTGCAGTATATTTTATGGATAAAACTGAAGCTAACTTCCCAGGCTTGCATGTTTAGGTAAACAGTAGAACTAGGAGGCAGACTTGCTGTTTTCTGCTTACAGGGCTAGGATTCCATTCTGCTCCTGCATTTCTGCACCAATGGGGCACCCATTGATGCCTCAGGAGTAGCTGGTATTCTGGGTAACAAATGTCTGGTTTTCCAAAAAAGAAGAAATAAACCATCAGCTAAAAACCTGGGGGAACAGCCCTTAACCTATTGTGTGTGTGTTTGTTGTGTAGATATATAGTCAGCACGTGGCACTGTGCAGAATGGAGGGACTGCCGTACCCCACCATGTCAGAGACCATGGCTGTGTGTTCCCGCCTGGGCTCCTGCCGCCTCCTCCTCACAGAGCCCAACAGGAACGACTTGCTGCTCCGCGTGCGGCTCAACATCAGCCAGGACGACGTGCTCTACGCGCTAAAAGAAGAGTGAAAGGGCTTCGCGAGGAAGGAGGGTGGTCTGCTGCTTTCTAATAGTCCAATTTCCTTTTCTAAGCACAAGAAATTCTTGTAGCCAAGGACAGTAAATGGAAATGGCTGTCATGTATTTTGGAATTGTTCATTAAATAATTTGCTTTTTTTCAGAGTTTGGGAAGTTTATAGTCATCACAGACATCAGGTTACAAAAATCCAATTGTCCTTCTTACTAAAGGCCCTACCTCTGGCTTTTTTTTCCGTCGCTAGCCCTGCCACTTATTTAACAGTAAGTGCCAGGAATGTGGATGTATGTACACTATCTACTTGTATATATAAAATAGTTATAGGAGGAAATGTAAGAATTGGTTACATTGGTTGCCTCTGGGAAGAAACTGGATGTCAGCAGTCAGGGGTGCGAGAACTTCCCACTGTTTGCCATTGTGTAGCTTTTAAATTTAAACAATGTAAAACAAAATTTGGTTCATATTTTTTAAAATGAATTGCCGGACATAATAATCAATGGTAAGGAATCTTAAGCAACAAATAGCTAGAAAATGTTGTTTTTTTTGAAACAATTTTTTTTTTTTAATAGGATGCTTGCTTTTATGGAAGCATATTTTTTTAAGAATTATTTTATTTAACTTTTTTTTTTTTTTTTTTGAGAGGTTTTTGTAATAGGGCATGTGCACTCGCCGGAAAGACAGAGACAGACAGAGAGACAAGAAGTGAGAAATCACCCCCCAGGGGGGGATAGCCAGGCCACAGTCCGCTCTACTCCATTCTACTCTCCGGAGCTTGGGCAAGCCT